TGTGGGGAGGGAGAGAAGCAGCCTGCACCAGATTGATCTGCTGCATCTCAGCGGACTGCAGGAAGCAAGCGACCAAACTCACGACTGTGCTATAAATTACACTATTTTGCACCAGGTGCACACACTCACTCACTCACACACACACACACACACACATGCACACAATAAAGACAGACTCTGGATTCATTATCACTAGAGCTAGTTTATTATCACTGTTATTGTTTTTTTTTCTCCTATCAGTGTTGCACAATGAACCCTAAAACAATACAAACCACTAAAAATGGTCTATTTTTCCTTTAAAGCATATACATACACACATACAGTATATACAGTATATGTGGATATGTATGCAGATTACAATTTATAGTTGCACCAACATGGTCTCTAGAGAGAGCATAGAAACAAAACCTTTTTATACAGCAGTGATCCATGACAGCTCTCTGAGAACACTTTTAAAACTATCTAGTGTTGACCTGAAGTAAACTGTGAGAGAGAAGCAGATATCGGCAGTGACCTCAGCAGACAGACGGACAGACAGACATGATTATGCATGATCATGAGCTAAATGTAAAATATTGTGCTCCTTTAATCCTTTGCAACTTTTTTTTTTTAAACAAAATGTGAGTAACACAGGCTACACCATATAGTTACTCTTTTTAAACTTCTGGCACCTCATTTGAACCCTGCTGGGAATAAATGGTTATAGAATAGAACAGAAATTTGACACATTTTAATACAGCATGTAAAGCCAGTAGAAACAAATCTACAAGGCAGATTTTTCGTACGGTGCCCTTTATCATAGTTCAGACTTGGACCATAAAGACACTGCTTTTAGAACCATCGTTAAAACATAATAAGATATTTATATAATGATGAATTTCTTAAAAGATGTTGATTTAAAAAAAAGAATCATGAGCCAAATGTGCTTAAAAGTAATGCCTCCTCTGATTAGAGATTACAGTGAGCCCCGAGTCAATGTTTGACGCAATATATTGACAATATATCAGCATGTAAAAGAAGATGCATTTTTACCAGACAGCAAATTGAATGTGTTTGGATGAAGCAGATTAAAACTGAATAATCAGGGAGGTTTCTTTTCTGAACTGTTTGCTTCTTATTTATTCATAAATATTTAATGTACTAAGGAAATGTGTTTCGTGGGCTTTAAACCCAGTAATTAAACTTCACCGATGGAGCAGTCTCGAGCTCTGCAATCACTTCTCAGCTCTGGAGGTGGTGACAAGGTGTGGGAGGTTTAAATCCTTGGCGTGGAAACATAGTTCATTTAAGAGGTTTAATAATTAAAAATAATCCCATCAGCATTTTTTTCTACTTTTATACAAAATTCTTGGTGAAACCAGAAACTCTGGGTAAGAACAGGTCACACATTCATACGCCTACATGGTTTAGTATGTCAACATCATATTGACATAACTTTCTAAATTTTGTTTTGCCTGCAGTGCTGCAAGTTGAAGTTGCTGTGCATGTGGAAATTTAGCAATGCATTTCTCGTACGAAGCTGTTGCTCACTCCAGTGCTCGGCACTGGGGTTTACACCTGCAGTGTAGATCCTACTCAGGAGCTCTTTTTTCCATTTAAGCAGCTGATTAAATGATGACTGAGCGGCTTTAGCTCATGCTGACAACATCAATATAAAACACACATTGTCCTCAACCGCAGATGCTTTGTGAAGGAAAACAAAGACACCTTTTTCACTTTAACTGTGACAGCACTGGCAGGACCTCAGCCTGAGTCACTCATGTGAGGATGACTGGTGGGAACAGGATGAGAATGAGGTGATCATCAGGCATCAGCGAGGACAAGAGAGACTTAGATTTGTCAACAGAAAAAAAGGTCACTCAGCCTATTTCATCAATATACACCAGCAAAACAGACTGACAATCAATAGTACCATATTGAAAATACAAGATTTTTTTTGTATTTTTTTGTCATGATTTGACTAAATATCACAGTGTTGCCAATAAGGATTAACTAAAACTTTTCAATTAGGGCTAAAATAACACATCAGCTTTTTGTTTCTCATGCAGATTCACTGTAGGGTTTTTTCTGCCTTCTACTTTTAAACATACTGAATTCAGTCTGCTTTCTTAACAGGAGCATGTAAAATATAATACTGATATCAAACATTAAAGTACAGTTACAATAAACCACCATTTGACAACAGTATAAATCACTCAGAAAATCCTGAAACTCAGCATTATTTGACACATACAGTCATCAGTGTATCAGAGCAAAACACCATAGAGATAAATGTACTGGAAATCAATTTACAGTCAGCTCAGATAGTCATTTGGTGCCACAACAATCAGTACCACATAATGTAAAGGACTTTTAAAAAAAAAGGGCAAAGTTTAATAAGAAAAAGAAAAAAGTTAATATTTCGGGTCTCCTAAATGTCTTTGTCACTGAGATCAACCACAGAGTCACTAACACTCATAACAGACATCATAGAACAATACAGTGCCAATCTAGCCAGACTAAGCCTATCTTACCCCCCTGACTTGATCTGGTTACCTGTGTTTAGTCAACGTATTATAAGAGCATGAAGAGTTGGAGTCATATTGGCACCATATGTGAAAGAAACCCTGCACATTCCCAGTCCAGGATGTTTTATTTTTAAGAACCTGAGGGTAGTAGAATAAGTATGAAGAAATGACAGCTCCAGCCAAAGGTTTTTTTCTTCTAAACACTTTCTTAGTCAATTTGATCAAATATTTGGTCCATCTAAATGTAAGATAATGGTGCTTTTACTAATTTTTCTAAAGCTCAAGCTAACTTATTTAAAATGTTTTTTGTATTTTTGTTTTTTCTTGCCTGACCCAGAGTCGAACCCCCAAATTAATCCATTTAATATACAAAGTAAAGAAAAGCAGCATATTCTTATAAAAATCTAGATTGTCCTTGTGAATGTTACTGTTGTCACATGATTTCTTCTGCTGAAATTGTAACATGATGCTAATGTGCCTCCCTGTTTTCACCACCCCTCAGTACGCTTAAGAGGCGGATGAACTGTTTTATGACAAATGTTCCTTTTCCTGCCAGAAGAGCCAAACAAAGGCAAAATGACAGTTAAATAACCATTATCCTGCCAACACCTTCTCTGAGCAAGTTAAAGTGGTCATTTATATATTATGCTCATTTATAATTGAATATTTTTGATGAGGATAGCTTTGTACGGTTCAGAGTAAACCTTACCTATCTTATGCTGGGCTTTGATGAAGCTCTTAATTTTATCTTGACTGAAACACGTAGTACAAACTTCAATTACCAACTTTCTTCTGATTGGCTGCCCTTTGCAAACACAATGTTTAAACATAGCCGGAGAGACCTGGTATGGTACCTGAAGTGACCATACCAGGTCTCTCCAGCTATGTCTTTTTCTTCTTCTTTTTAGAGTAGACAAATCTGTCTGAAATTGAGAATTTAGAGCAGAGCCTGAGATTTTGGGCTTACTTGCAGATATTTTGAAACCATTGTTTGAATCTTTGGTCATGACCATTGCGACAGCCATGTATATCACAGAAAGCAGTAAAAGCATAACAATTCCAGTTTTAATGACAGACAACGATGGCATTTCTTGCAGCGAATCTGTCTGAACTGGGCACAAAGCAGAAATTGAGGAAATTCAAGTTCAGTAGGCCAACTGTATGGCCGGCTGAGATGCATATAACACAGGATCAGAGAGTCCCTGAGCACACGCCCTCCCTGACCAAAGGTCAGGATTCTTGAACAAGGAACAAAGGAGGCTGTCTCATTGACAAGAGCAGCGTTTAGTGATGAAACACTTCTCAAAACTGCAGAATATGTAAGACAAAGGCCTCAGTTTGACTAACCATATCAGCAAAGGAATCATCTGCTCCCCACAGCTGATGGATTACAGCACCAGTCAGTCAGTGAGAACAGCTTTAAGCACCCCAATAAATCACACAGGTTCTAATATTATACAGCTATATGACAACCTGACCTATCAAAGTCTAATCAAGTAAACATGATGATCACCGCACCGCATCCACGGTGAATCAGGTTAAACGTCCGTATGACACTAACGCCTGTCAAATCCACAGTGGTGTACAATTTCCTGCAAGAGGACATTAACCTTAAATGACACCAAGGGACTGAGGAACAAAGTAAGGAAGAAAAAAATACCCATTGTGTCCTTTGTGAAAGTTCTCTCCACAGAGGTGAAAACACTGATTAAAGCTGCAGGAGCCCCGGAGAGAAACTAATCTGCAGTTAGTGAATATACACAGAGGAGACATTTAGGTCAAGCATTTGTTCTACTGTTTTGACAGTTGCCATTTCTTTTTTCCCCCAGCACTGGTTATAATATCAACAACATAGTGTACAATTAAATGCAGGAAATAGATACCAGAGAAATGCAAAGAAATACGCATATGCAAACAAATTTAAAAGGCATAAAACATAGTACCTAGGATGATCACTAAAGTGAGATTGACTCTAATGCTGGTTTGCATAACACATTAAAATGACAGGTGAATTACTGTTTTTGTGGGGACACGTATAGCTCTCAGTTTGGATGTGGTGGAGGACCAGACGGTGCATGCTTTTCAAAAGTACTCCTATACTGTATGTATGATGCATAAGTAGAACACAGGTCATTTTGCAGTAGTTGGCTCCACTGGACTCAAAAATGCTGTGACCTTTAAACCATTGCATGCCCTGCCATCTGTCAGAAATGAAGCTGTTAATATGCTTCTTACTATTAAGGCTGATGAATGGAAAACACAAAAGCTGCCTGAGGAGTAGCACCAGGAAGCATTTTGTATTCAACACCATGGATTCAATCAAAGGTGTTTGCTGATATTAAATGCACTCATCTTACACTGATGTTAGTTACTTAGGGCAGCAGAGACATGACAAGCTCATTTTCATAAAAAAAGTGCTAGTGTCAGCATTTTACTGTTTACAGTATCCCATACCTGGATGCACCAAAGAGGTTTGAAAGCGTTTTTTTTTTGTGTACATGATGTCGAGTTGTACGTGCCACCCACTTTTGATTCAGTTAAACTTATTTATGTCTAAAGAAGACATAAAGTAAATCACTACCAAAAAAAATGATGTGCTAGTAATAAAAGTGACAATCACTACAAATTAAGCATGAACTTGAACTGCTTAAATAATTAGTGCTCAACATAAAGGTCCTAAAATGTTCCCCCTCCTATTGTGTCTGTTTCTATTGACTCTGTCTGTCCAGCATATTTTGACAATTGCAATTTTTTATGTATTTATATTATACAGTCGTGTGAATTTATTTATCTTTTGACATATTGGGGGAAACATTTGGTCCCTTAGGAAACAATGCCTGTAGATAAAGGTGATATCTATAAGGGGGGCGTACCAGTTGAAAAATCCACCTGGGAATTCAACTAAGACGCACCACAAGTAGCCACAGACACACAGCTCACAAGCCGCAATACAAAAAGGCTCTCTGGTACTAGAGCGCTCCTCTCTCTGGCTTTAAGTACTCGCCACAGAAATAGCTGCACAAAGATTTGTTACTCCAGGCTGGAGAATGAGCCAGATACATCCTCTGGAGCAAAATCACAGCAGGCCCTACTAGGGTACCGATAACAGGAAGCTTTTCAGGTGAAGAGCCTCGTTAAAACTGAGCAGGTGGCTTACATGATGCAATTACTGCTATATTGGGCAACACTAGCTTCTGATGTATTTGATTTTAAGTTTAACTTCTTTTGCTATTTTTGTTCAGCAAAAAGTTGAGCGGTTATCTTCAGGCATTATTTCAAAGATGACCTGGTTTTTGCTTGCTCCAGTATGTAATAAAAGCTAGCAATTTCCATGAGATATACTTACTGTGTCACACGACTGTAGATATATATATACATTAAGTTCATTGTTTATACTCTGTACGTGTCCTTCATTAAGACCTGAGAGAAAGGCCAACAACAAGGTTGAGGTAGGTAACCATAATGCATCAAATCAGTACTTGTACAGCAAGTGACAACACTGAGCAGAGAGCCGGCGAGAGAAAAGCCCTGTAATTGTTTAGCTACCCAACAACCACCCATCTCCCTCAGCCCGCTCTCTGTCTGTGCTCGTCAGCATTCAAAGACATTATAAGCACCTGAAGCACATAGTCAGCGTTGACAGGAGGGAGGAGGCCGAGCAGCAAGTATAGTTTTGAGAAGAGTAACAGTAAACGAGCTTAACCGGCAACTGTTACGTCTACTGGGCACCAGAAGAGAAATAAAAGGCTACTGCTGCATTTGTAAAGGAGGCTTGAAATGTGATGTGAAAACAAAATAAGAAGGTGATGCTGACACAAATATTAAGAAAAAGTTTAGAGATACACTGCTGTCAAAAAAATTAATTACAGCTTGTTTTGCTTTCTTTCCAGAGGTCAAATACCGCTCTCATATCTCTGTTGTCAAAACTACAGTTAAATATTAGATAACAGGACAAAATAAAAGCAATAGCACATACGTGCATTTAATTCATAAATCTCTTCCAAATAGTTGTTTTTAAGCTTTGGCTTTTTTACATATTAAAAAAAAGATATATTTAATAGCATGTGTTAGAAAATTTAGATTTTTAATAGCTCATCTAAGCGTCTAAGAGACCGGGGATGGTTAACAACAATTTTGGAATTAGGGCTAGGCTACTTGCCAAAACAGCTATGACCTTAAAACTGAGAAAGATCAAATGAGAGCGGTTTCATCTGCCAACAAGAAAGCCAATAAGCAGATTTTCCAGAAATATGATCCAAACTATTCGTAGACACGGGCCATTTTCTGTTAACATTTGTGCTCAATTTAGCTTTATCTATTTAAAAACACATGACATCTCATCTCATGCACAGTTAGACTTTAAGATGTCATTAACAATGCAGTGTATCTCTAACAGCCTTGTCATTCAACTGAAGCAACTACAGTGGAAAAAAGAAATTACAATCTTTAAGATAAAGTCAAATCTATCAAAAGGCTTACAATAGATTAGCATAATTCATACATATTTCCAACACACCGTAACCGTACAACATGTTATCAGTCTGTCAGCTTGCATGAGGTACTGACGCTGTATCTACAAACACCATATTCATCAACAGAGGGAAGCCAGGACTTCACAAAGGGCCAAAAGAGGGTTTTTCATTATGCAATAAACAGACAAACAGCAACAACAGCGACAACATTAACATTGTTATCTTGAGGTAGAACATTAATTTCAGCATTTGGAAGTGCTTTATGTTGGATACTTTTTTTTTGTTTTCTTTTTTTTTCTGTTTTACTTCGACAAGCAGGAGAAGAGAGATGATTCTTGACATCTGAGGTAGAGCGGCACCTGATTTTGTCACTTCCAAACCAATTCCTCTGCATGTAAAGTAACTGTGAGCTCAGGGGAAGGTAAAGTCCCTAAAAGCTTCCCACTACACATTCATTCCGGCTGAGGTAGGTTTCTTTCTTTTCTTTCTATCGCAAGGTTCACGCAGCCAAGTCTAACGCCTGCATGAAGGCCGAAAACTCATAAAAAAAAATATGTTGAAATCACTGAAACAAAGTCCTGAGGCAGAATATATCGAATCCCTGGAAGAAGGCTGAGATCTTCTGTGAACAAGAAGGTGGAATCATTGGTAGGTGAGAGTAGGCAGCAGGAGTCTTTGACATCCACAGAAAAGTAGAGATAAGACCAATAACTTATAACCGCTTTGACATATAAGTGATAAAGATATAGTGTATATATATTTATATATATACATATATTTATAAACTTCAAAATAAAACCATTGTATAACAAGGACATTCTGGGGCCTCTGTCTTAGGTGCTGCCCAACACCAGGAAATTAACCAAAGACCAAAACAAAAACTAAAAAGTCATCGGGCTTCAGATATACAGTCCTAGATCCTCCAGAACGCCTTTATAAAAAAAAAAGTCTTTGCACAAAAGGAATGACGACTTTGAAAAAACAACAACAATCTGTCAACCTGAGTGAGAGAAAAGTCTGCGTGGACACTGGACAGTGTCGTGTGAATTGGCCTTCATACATTATTAGCCTTGGTCCTGCTGAGCTGCTCCTGCTGCAGGAGTCTCTCGGAATTGGGTTTCCCTCTCCACGGCAAACTCATCCAGCGGTATCGTAGACAGCTGGGTGTTATTCAGCATGTAGGAATCAGACTGAAAACACGTGCAAACAATCAGACTGAGTATATTTCATTTAGTTTCAGCTTAGATAGAATATACTTTTTTTCCTTTAACATAGCTTTTCTCACTCTTTTCACTCTGAGGACCTACCATGCACATTTCTCTTGTGTTCGGCTGCATGAAAAGACTCTCGAGCTCATTGCTGTCAACCGCTTTCTTCCTCGCCGCACTGCCATTGACCTCCATCTCTCTTCTGGCAGCCCCGTTAAGCCCAGAGGCTCCCTGGGAAGACGAAGAAGAGTCCACAGCAGCGCCGTTCCCTGCCTGGGGGGTGGCCTGAACTGTCTTACACATCATTAATCTGGGGATTACACGAACATGCACACATTAAACGTTTGCCTGATTCTATACACACGATAGAAATAGACCCTTTAACAGCAACTATTGGCAAGTTATTTCACTGGCACCATTAACTGCCTCATGAATGTGCACGTCGTGCTAGTTCTGACCTGCCACGGTAGCTGAAGACGAGGAAAAGCACGCAGAAGATGATGCAGGTAATGCCGATGTGAATGCCGATTATGATGCCCGTGGTGGATGTTTTGCCCTGCTCATCTTTCACACAGTCGCACGGGCCGTCCAACACTGAGGAGATATTGCACACAACACGGTCACATCACAGCTGGGTGAGCTTGGACTGTTTATGTGGCATGAAGGTCAACTTGACTGATACAAGAGATGTTATGTGAGACTAATCTACTTTCATGCTCCGTATTGATGTGGGGCAGTGTGTAGCGGTGTGAAAATATTTCCATATTTGGTGGGTCACTGCAGCGGTATAAGGGGTAGTGGCAACAAGTGAAGACATCTCTTCTGTGAGATCGATATACGGTCATATTTAGTTCAAATCCACCCTGTACTCCAACCACGTTTAGCCCTTATTTTGAGTGATGATTCTTGTGATTTATTGCGTTTTTCGAGCTGTCATCTCAGCTAAACCATGCCTCAAGTCCTGGACCAGTCTGATAAAGATTAAACTTGGAATCCAAGTAACAGAGAAACAACTTTGTGGAGGAGGGCTTTGGTGATGTACACCCACAGCATGCTAGATGATGCAAGATTTGCTTGGCCTTCACTACACTTCCCCAGACTGCTCGTAGAATCTTGCAGCCCACACTGGGCAGACCTTTTGTGTTAAAGGTCCACTTCTTCCAAGATAAAGTGGAACGATAGAAATGCAGCAGCAATACTTGAAAAAAAAAAAACAACCCAGCAAATCATTTTTAGTGAGGATGAAGTGAGTCAGGTATGTCAGCTCATATGCGCCATACTGAGGATCAGAGGGCAGAAATCATTTGATGAACCTGTGTAGGCCAAAGTCTGCACTTTGCAGACAGATACGAGATTGGGAGAAAGACAAAGAGGCGAGAGCCCCAGTAAAGATACTCTTTTTATAGCAAGATCAAAGGAAGGCGTGATATAACTCTATTTCTCTTTATCTTTGTAGTACATCAGTCTCTTGTATTCAAAAAGCACACCTCGAGAGATCCAAATTGCAGGATTGGCCAAGACTTTTCAATTTTCTACATTAATATTGGGCGAACACTATTTCTAAATAAATATACTAGACAAACAGACCCTCTGTGATCTAGTTTTTCTCGCTGGCAGCACTGAAAGATTAAATCCTGTAGTTCAAAATGCATTAACTCAAAAATGCAGATCCAATAAAGAAAACATTTAAGTTTTTCAGAGATACTTCGCTTCTCTCAAATGACCTTTAACCATTTATTTCCACTCTGACAGTTCATTCGGGGATTCAGATCAGTCCTGGGTTTGGATTTGTCTTATTTGCTGACCCATCTTGGAATGACACACCATTCATTACTTTTTTCTTACATTTCCAGGCAAACATTATTTTTCTTGAAATATTTTTCATCCTACCTAAATACCGTCAGAAAGACTTATCACATCAGGCTCACAAAATCAATCAATATAAAAAGGATTAAACCCGTGGACACGTAGTCTATGATATATAGAGATGATGCATATGGGAAGCCTCTCCACCTCTGGAAATAGAAATTGGTGAGATAATCAGATGACCTGTGGGACAGCGCCATCTCACTAATCCATACATCATCATGTGCATGATGATAATATTTGATTTATTTTTTAATTCACATCATAGTATTTGATTCAAACTTCAGTTTTGTTTTTCCAATGAAACAATATGTTACAATGTTCCAGGAAGCTCTTTTCAGATCAACAACTGTAAATGCATTTCTATTATTCTCAGTTTATTATTTTCCTTTTTGTTAGGTGTATTGTTATAATCTTTTTTCTCCACTGTCTGTCTTCCTGAGATTTTTTTTTGTCCTTGGACAACGTGATATGGAAATGTGGGCAGACTGTACACTTCCATATATCCACATTTATCCACATGACTGTATTTTAAATGATGGAAAAAATGATAAAGAAAAATTCACCTGATTTGGCCACTGCCTCCCGAAGTGAAACAAATCGTATGGTGGCATTCCCGTCTCCATGCTGGTTGTGAGCAATCAACTTTATCTCATAGACCAGTGAGGAATCTGAACAAAAGGAAACAAAGAAAGCAATCAAAACTAAGCACCACGAGCTGTTAGTGACACATATTTTTAGCTCTTGGCAAAAACAACTATGTAAACCCACTAAAGTGCATTAACAAACCATTCTGCATCACAGGCCCGCTTATCAGCGCTTACGACGCGTGACGCTGATTACCAATAAAAGCAATGATACAGTCAGCTGTCATGTCTCACCCAGATGAGTGATGTTGTACTGGGTGACGTTGCGAGGGAAGGCGATGGGCCCAGTGAACAGTGGTGTGTGCGCTCTCCTGTAATACAGTCTGAAGCCCTGAGGCTGGCCCATCTTGGAGGAAGACTCCCATGTTGCTTGTACAACACTACCGTTCACCACCTTTGTGTAGAGGGAAGGAGGAGCTGGCACTGCAACACACAACAAAACGTAAGCCAAAGTAGTTAAACAACTATCAGAAATTTGATCAGGTGTGGGAAAAATAAAATGTGAGCAATAATATTTTTACTTTCTTCCTCAGGATGAACAAGCTCTAAAATATAAAACAGTGAGAGCAGCCCAATTTGTCTTATGTTTTATGGATGTTCTGCAATAATTAAGGTGAAATCATGTGTTTTACCTGTGCTACAAATCTTGTAGGAGTCTTGATATTTCTAATTTTTTTTTTATTTCCGCCAACTCACCCTCTCCGTGAGTGCTCTCTGTGACACTGTCCGAAGGTTTGCTGGCCCCATGGGATGTGTAGGCCTTCACATAGAAGGTATAATTGGTGGAGGGCTCCAGGTCCCGGATGATCTGCTGCAGCGTGACCTTACTGACAGCCTCCTCGTATTCCATCTCCGCCGGGTCTGAAGGAAGAAGGGTGGAGGGAGAAGAGGGGGAATAAAAGAAAGGAGGAGCCAAATTTTGAAACGATTTGTAAGAAAAATAGGAAAGACATAAATGGGAAAAGGAAGAAAAATGGAAAATAATATGTTTCTATTAGCACTTGTGCTTACTGCCCACTTCAGTGGGTTTTATCAAAGCATTTACAGTATTTAATAGCTAATTTAGTATCACTCTGGGCCTCAGGGTGAATTGCAGGGGCGGCATAAGAAGATGGAGGGAGGAATCGGGAGAGTTGTTCAGGATATGTTAAAGCATTTTATTGCTTTTAATTAAGCAATTCATCCAACCATAACCACTATCTACATCTAGCCCTCAATCCATTGGGCCACGCCACGCTGGAGAGGAAATTACAGGAGATACTATTAGTCGTCTCCCAGGTCCCTTAATGATCAGTTAATAGATCAACTGAGGGGAACATCAGCAGGTGCTACAATGGTCTCCCCATAAAAACAAGTAAAAAACATACACAGTTAATTGTACCATACCCACAAGGTAAAGATAAATAAATAAATAAATAAATAAATAAATGAGACATGCATTTATCAAGTAGGCATGTAGGGACTTTTCTAGACACCACCTGACAGAGGAGCACCAATGTAAACATCCAAAACATTTGGGGATCAGAGATCAGTCAGCCTGTTACCCCCTAACACAGAGTGTTAAGTTGATTCTGTTCATCTGGACGTAGCATTTTCAATAGGAGACACTTTGTCATGGTCCCTGTGCCCCGCTGGTCGACCCTCTATTAGGCAATATGTTTGTGGTTTGTTTGCTCTCTCTCTCTCTCTCTCTCTCTCTCTCTCTCTCTCGCCGCGGCGACGCTCATTGCGGGCTCCCGCTGCTGGCCCACACACCTGCTCTCATCACCGCACCGGCCGCTGATCCCAGCTGATTACTGCACTACTTAAGATGGCGAGTCTGCACTAGTCTTCGCTGGATCATTGAGCTATCAGCGTCAGTCAGACTTGTGTATCTGCCAACCTGTATCTTGAAAGCCCTTTGTTATTATCCCGCTAACCCGACCTTTTGTGTTTAGATTGTTTTTGGAACCGGATGCTGAGAGGAGTGACTGAGGAGGAGCCTTTTGTACAGAAAGTGTGGAGCACCTTTTCCCCTAACCCTGTTTCCCACGGACCCTGGCGACCCGGACCCATTTCCCCTGCACGTTGTATATAGCCACTTGGTGATTGTGTTCACTGTGAATAAAAGCACTGTTCTTCGCTTAAAGGAATACCCTGGCCTGCGCCTGAGTCTCTTTCGGAAACCATATCACACTTTTCATCATCCAAGTGACTTCTTCAGTCTCAGCTGAATGCAGGTTTCCCCACCTTATAAAAGGTACATGTGCATAATGGCCGACACTGGCACCACTTGAGGCAAAGTCGGTTTCATGACCTTTAATAAGTAAATTGTCATGATTATTGACCAATGACCATGATCTATTTGACTATTTGCAGAGAGCAGTCACAACATTGTAGGATGGTGAAACATCCTACAATGTTTCGCCATCCTACAATGGTGGATTCTGAGTTGGTCTTTCCCTTCTCACGTAAATGGCATCCTGGACTCAAAGCTCAAACGAGCCTTCCTCTCTGTCCCGGATGTGTACATCACAAATAAAATGCAGATATAGCAAATATGCTATAAATTAAAACTCATATATGGAAATTTTTTGTGAGAAGGTTTAATAAACACTTGGCACTTATTTCATGGTTCAGGCTTTAAAGGGCTAATCTACCATTTTGCAAAGTTGATTTCTCCCTGGAGGTTTGAGGTCACGTTGTTGAATTGTGCAAACAGTTTGATTCAAGGTGCATGTTGGTTGCATCTTGTGAGAAAGGAAAACTGAAAATCACCACAAAAACAAATTATCCTTAAATATTATGAAGCTGACATGTGAAAACAGCTTCTTGTTGTTTTTTGATTTCTTTCCTTTCTGTAGACCTTGGATCCACCTCTTTGTTTATCTTTAAACAAAAGTATGTGTCAAGGTAATTCAGTGTAGCATAAAATGCTAAAACATGAATTTTCCATAGGCACCATATCACCTTTGTTGTTTTTTCTTGTTTCTCATTTAATATTAACGTGAGAACTCTTCCAAAGTCTGACACACCAAACTACACATGAGATTTGACATCCCTCATACTCTACTACCTGCGCTTACTGCTAATGAAGGGTTTTACCTTACCAATAATTTGTATGACTGTTACGACGATGGCTGCTAGTTTGAAGTGGCGCGATAAATAAATGAAATAAACTGAAGTGAAGCATTAGCCTGAAGTGACGTGTGTGTGTGCGTGTGTGTGTGTGTGTGTGTGTGTGCTTGCAAATCGCTTTTGTGCCTCAGGACCATCTTTGTCTGTGTCAGTGCCGTTCCTCATCATTTCATTACTGTAGCAGCTTATTTACATAATTGAATTGTAATGAAAGTGTGGCAGCGTTCTCTTGTTTGCTGCCATTTGTAGTTATGCGAATGAATTTAGCCGCATCCACTCCTAATTCTTCAGTGAAAATGTCATGGGGCTCCTCAAACACTTATTTACTTTCAGAACTGATTTATTCCACGTTAAGAGGCCTGTGTTTTTTCTGCCTCCTCTCATCTCACTTGGCATGCCTTTTGACACTGACTTCATGTCACACTTGTTTTAACTAAAGCTTTGCTTTAAACTGTATCTGGATCTTCAAGAAGCCCCACCTGAGGTCCGGCGGATGTGGAGCACATAACCGATGATGTCCTGAGTGTTTTTATCGGGTTCCCTCCAGGACACCTGTATGGTGGTGGGGGAGAGGGCCTCTGCTTCCACGTGGATGGGAACGCCAGGCAGTCCATCAGCCCAGAGCACCGTGAGGCGGGCACTGGCCTGCGTAGAGCCCGCGCTGTTCTCAGCGATGCACTGGTAGATAGCCTCGTCATTCTGACTGATGCCATATATTGTCAGTGTGCTGTGGAAGCAGCAGAGGAGACAAGCAGGAAGCAGAGAGTGTGGGGAAAGAAGAAAGGAAACAAGGAAGTTTAGTTTATCTGGTGCAAATGTGGAACATAAGATTCTTACTATTGCTTTACTAGCAGTGCAATAGCTGCACCTCGTGTTTGAGCAGGTGAATTCTCTGCCTTAAATTCTAACTATGAGGAATTTAGGTGCCTTCTTTAGCCTTTAAACCTATCACGTTGATTCAGTGCCAGTGATTGCAGTAATGTTTCTTACCAACTGTAAGAAAGAAACTGTTCTGTACTATGTGACTCACATATTTTAAGTTTAGATGAAATGCTACAAAAACTGTTAATATCTGGGGAAAGTAACTGCCCATGTTGGCTTAAAAAAAAACAAAAAAACAAGAGTTGCAAACATTTATAAGTTTAGATTTTGAAATTTTCTGTTCACAGCGTCAACAACATATCCTCTTTAATTATAGCATCGGGGGCAGACCCATGGGGTGGCCATGGCAACCAGACTATAAAGTCTGACCTCCACTCAAGACCAGTGGTAATGACTGGTTTTCTCCTTGGAACTTTCTGTTTACAGAAATGTTTCTCTACAGCTACTTTTCCTTCATGTACTCATTAAAACAGTGAACTTTTTAAAATTGTAAATATCTTATGAGCTTTACAGTATCAGCAACGGTTCACAATTAAAAAGTAAAAAAAAAAGTAAATTGTGTATCTTAAATAAGAGCGAGTGTTAACAAAGAAAACCCCAAAATACAAAAATTGTTTTTCCTGTAGCGTTTTACCTCATCTCTATGCAAGAAATGAGCTCAACCTCCCCACCATTATAAAAATTGTCTTGCTCCAGCACTGTGTAGTATTCTCTGTACTGCTGTCCAAACATTACTACTTATTTTCACGATTTTAATTTTCAAAACCAACTTTTGACAGTTTACACACATAAATTGCAAGAATAACGTTGGAACATTTTTTTTAAAGTTGTCATTACACAAGTGTAGCACACCGTAATGTCTTTGCGCAAGAGAGCTGGCAGATTAAAGAGTGCTTAAGCTGCTAGCAGAAAACATCAGCCATCTATACAGTAACATGCATCTCTGATGGGCAATGTCTAGACAAGTCCTTCTAGGCTCCAGCGCGCATCGAGACTGAAGTATTCAAATGTCATAAACTAAAAAGTACAGTGTTTTTTAATAAAGTCTCAAGAGGTATTCATGCTTGAATAAATCCATTTAATGTAGTATATCCTTCTCCTGGTAAGGACCACACAGAACAAAAGATGACTGTGACATAAAGTCAAGAGCACGAGTTACTGTGTTCAGCTGGGTGAGAGAAAAAGTGATTTGTGGCACAGACAGCAGGCAGCAGCAGTAAGAACAGAAGGTCCTCAATCATGCGGAGCACATACTAGATTCATCATGAACTGAATCTCCCATGGCAGTAGATAAATTTATATCAGTGCTTCAAAAAAATCAAATTTGCCCACATTGGTATAAACTGTGACATTTCCATACACACATGTGAACTCTACCTATGGACACACACAAACACACACACACCTTTCTATCAAACCTCTGACACGCTGCTCTTTGTCCTCATTTTTCTCTACTTCTAACGCTTCCCTCCTACCTGGGTTGTCCTCAGTTATAGAATAAATATAGGGGAGCACTGTGTGTGTGCATGTATTTACCTTATGTATGTACATGTGTAGGTTGTGTAGGTGTTTTTAGACAAGAATACATAATCCACTTTTCACATCCTGCCTGTCTTCAAGCAAAAGAAAAAAATAGTAAAACATTTAACATACTATGGAAATGAGGCACTGCAGTGTAAAGCATTTCTTCATGTCATTGTTATGTCAAGGCCATTTCTGCTATATTTAAAGTATAATATATGCCGAACAAAACATGAATATGAAATGGACTGAGCTATACCTTGAAGATGGTGCACCCCTTGGTCATATTATTTCTAGAGTTCAGAAGCATTTGCCAGATAAAGGGAAGTAAACTGTCAGGTTTGTGGCTCTCACGCTGTGTTTTAGGAAACTGAATGCAAACTGCAATATCCCGCTACTCTGTCAAGTCCAGTTTGTATGAGTTGGTACAGCAGAATGTGACTTTCCTTTGATGAACAGGAAGCATTATATTAAATAAACTTTCCTCACAACACTGCTATGAGTAAAAGAAAACAAAATATAGATGGGCTATTAGAAAGTAATGTGTAAATCTTGAACTATCCCTCTTCTCTTTATATTTTGCTGGAAAAATGGGAAATAGATGTAATGATTTAATGAAGCACTTGCACGGAAATACAGGCAAAACCAGTTTGTCCATTTCTAACAACTCTATATATTTTTATGTGATCACCTTTATTATTCAATGAACTCGCTTAGGCAAGCGTTCCTGTAACTTATTGGTTGGTCTTTAGGAATAACTCCTGACATTCAAAGTTTCAAATTTCATCACTCCATCAGACCTCATCCATTCGCTTCTGCTTATCCTTTTTTAGGGTCGCGGGGGGCGCTGGAGCCTATCCCAGTTGACATTGGGCGAGAGGCAGGGTAGACCCTGGACAGGTTGCCAGTCTGTCGCAGGGCTAACACACAGAGACAAACAACCATTCACTCCCACATTCACACGTAAGGGCAATTTAGACTGATCAATTAACCTATCCCCACTAACTGCATGTCTTTGGACTGTGGGAGAAGGTGGAGTACCCGGGGAGAACCCTGGCAAACACAGGGAGAACATGGAAACTCCACACAGAAAGATGGTGGATGGATTCCTGATGGTGGAATTTAGGACCTTCTTGCTGTGCGGCAACACTGCTAACCACCATGGCACCGTCCTGCCACGGTGCTGCCATCAGACCTATTGCCACTAATTTTCTGCCCAGTTCTTGTGTAATTTGGAAAACCTCAGCCTTTTATTCCTGTTTCCCTTCCTTAAGAATGGCTTCTTGACAGCCAGCAGTAGATGGATCAACTGAAGAGCCAGATGCATCTGTTAGGTCCTGTGTCAGGTCTTTGCTGCTTATTCAGATACCCTTCATCAGTTTTTTAGGCCTGCCACTTCTTCTTTTGTTTTCCACTTGTCTGGTTTTATCAGATTTTTAAAGGACATGCTGCACACCATGTCTGACAAACTGTGTTACTGTTAAGAATTTTCATAGAGTCGCATAGATGGGAACAAATTTTGTGTTTTGTGATAGGCTCGTCCTGTGCTTTGTGCTTTAAGATAGAATTTGTTTCTTTGTCAATTTGGTTGTTATATGTAGAAACAACGCAGGTTCATCCTTTGAGTAAGGTGCCCTTTTTATGGTGACTTATGGTTTAGGGGTCAGTGTTAAATGGCTTAACAAACAACAACAAAATCCTCTAAAAATTGTATAAGGAATGGACTGAAAACGAGTGAAATAGCAGGTATTGTCCAAAGACCCCGGTAACATCATTGCTAAGAATTTTACACAGTACTGCAGGTATCCTCCTAGATCAGTGAAAGGGAGCATGAGCAAAGTGGCATTTCAGTTCTCAGCAGCACTGACATCACGCCAGCCTCAGTGCATTTCATGCAGATGGATTTTTAAGGTCAGGCGAGCCTCTACTGGGTCAGCAGGTAGGACAAAGAACTGAATTATTCCATTTCCTTTTCAAAATTGAAGTGTTGTTACTGGAGGTTTCTAATCTGGGTCAGAGAAAGCTGCAAGATGGAAGAGTCATTATTCGCTCCAGGCTGCCAGGTGGACTCAATCTGTATAATTATCAGGTCAAAGAGGTGCTCTGCATTGCAGCCTCTCTGAGCCAATCTCACCTCTGACCCCTGAGGTGGCAGCAGTCACCAGCCCTCAGCTCGCTACTCAACCATCACGTTTCTGACAGCCTTTCATATCAGCGATGGATGGAGTGTTTGCAGACAAGCAGCCTGACCAGACGCAGCAAAGAGGCCCCCAGGGATGCCCTACTCAATGCCACCACGGCCGGATGGGCCCCATGAGTGTGAGAACGGAAGGCAGCAAAATTTCACAAGAAGTCGCTTGTTTGAGGAGGTACAGTAGCGTCCAGCCGCATGTATGCAAATTCACACACACCCACGCACTCACACATTCATTTCATAAACACATGGATGGACGCTGTTAGCTGGTCACTTGTGAAATTCCACAACTGCTGTCAAAACCTGTTTTATAGCTTCCAGGAGGAAAGCTCTAGATGTTTTAGACATTTTAGAGCAGGGATGTTAGTTAATGGGGCACAGTCAGTCAACTTTGATCCTATATGTGTTGTACTCCCCCCCTCAAAAAAGGTGAAACATCTTCAAGAAACTTGATGATTTATATGATTATAAAAAAACTGCAAAATGTCCTCTTTTTGTTACTGTGAAAAGTCAAACTTGATGCAGAAAATGGTCAAATAACTATTTGTCTGTATTTTACTTCTTTAAAAACAAACCGAAAAATTGCAGGAATTTGAATCACTTTCACTTCACTTTCCAGATGTTCCAGCTATTAATAAGAACTTTTCATTTCACATTTTGTACTGTTTGACACTTCTGATTTAGAGTTTCATTATCTACAAAAAAGTTCCTGTTTGATCTTGTAATCATATTCATGAAGATTTGCTTTTTTATATCTGTTAATTATCACTGTACAGTGATGACTGCATTAATTTAGGTATAATGAAGTATATATATATATATATTTTTGGCTTAATGTCTTTAGTTCAGTGTCATTTGACAGTTTAGTGACACGATGTTTCGTTTCTGAGGTCTTTTTTCTCTCTGTTGCTTCAGCTGGAAATCTAAATCACATTGCTTCTTGTATCAGATCACTGCTGAGGAATGATGTGACAGATGGCGGATGTTTAGATAACTATGTCACAAGTATTTGGATAGACCAAGAGGAACAAAACATACCTTTTCATTCCAGGAAACTGTATTAGTTATTGAAGAAATACTCTGCAAGGTTTGATGCTGCTTATATGAACTCATATATGGACAACTCTCCTATATCTACACATTAGAAGAAACTTTTTCCCATTTTCATGCACACAAGTCGATGAAAGGTTTTACAAGTGGCATGCCCTCTTTATTAATGATGTCAAGGTTTTCAGCACCGACTGATTTTCTAACAGCAAATGTGGTTCAGTAGCGCAGAAAACTGAATGCAGCAAAAGGAAAAGTTTGTGTGGTCGTTTTTTAAGCAGCTGTGATCGGACTTTGGAGGTGTGCAGCCTCACGCCTGTAGCTCTTCATCTAACAGCTCACTGTGGCTGCTCCGTCTTCTTGACCCATTACTCCCTGCAGTGTTACAAATTGATCCACTGTCGAGAAATACTAAAAATGACTTGTTTTATAGATGCACTGTTGATGAATGGCAGCGGTAAATGCTAAGCTTACTCAAATTGAAACCTTTGAAACCATCACCATGTTCAAATACTTTCTGACTCAGTTTCTTTTTGAATAGATCGGTCTGTATTTATAAGCAACACCTCACCAACGATCCAAACATATGTGAGGGAAAAAAGCACACGGGAGGTGTATGGCCTAAATTTGGACTGTTTGCTTGTCTCATAGGAGCTCCTGAACTGAGCTGTCCCATCCTGACAGGTTGACACCATCATTTACTCATCAGTTCAAGGTCACTTCACAGATTGACAGATAAGGCTGTGGACCGGGGGGATAGCTGACAGTGGGGCCTTGGGTCTGTTGTTCAGCTGCTAAGGCTGTGTTTACTCTCCGTTGTCTCCGAGCAGCACCCCATCAAAAGCCAGCTTTGCCATTCTGGATTCAGTGAGAGTGAAAGGAAGAAGAAGAAAAAAGTCTGGGGACAAAGAGAGAACAGGAGGAAGAGGCGGGGAAGGGGGGAGGGGAGGAGTGATGAGCTGTCTGTGGCCTGAGAGGAGGGAAGGGCCCAGGGATATGACTGATTACAGGCGAGGTCAGAGTTCAAGGCCAATGCTCAGGCCAGAGCTTGCTGTAAAGTAGGCAGGAAAGGGGGATGTGGGGCACAGAGAGGGGCCTGCAAACAAGAAAGGCAGGTCTTGGTGAAAGAAAGTAAAAAAAAAAAAAGAAAAGAAAAAAACCCTTTGAAAGGATTCTGCTACAAAATGACCAGGTTTGTGTGGTGCCCTGTTCCTTCAGATGTTGGCTATTAATTTGAAAGTACACCACGCCTCTCACACACAATTGAAAATGTTCTTTTAATTACTACATAACTTTCTACACAGATGAAAAAGGATTCTTAGTTGATCTGAATGATTAAAATTTAATGATTTTTTTCATTCTTCTCTTTTTTTTTTTCACCACAAGGGAGAATTTAATTTTCATCCACTGCAGTAAAACTAAGGCTGATTTTCAACCTCTCAATTATTAAACCGTCGGAGATCACAGCTTGTGTTTGTTGAGGGATCACACACGGCAGCTTTGGTGATGTAAGAACAATTTATAATGATCCAACTCTGAGAGGGTTTTAATAACCAGGATAGCATATTTCACAGGAGGCTGGCCAGCAAACGCTAATAATGAAGGGGCTTCATAATAATGCTGGCAGTGTGTGTCCGTGGTGTCACATTTGTTGGGTTGTGTCAGGAAGAACACACGCCTCGCGTGTTTACAGAAGCAGCCAATCAGCTTATTTCTGACATCACTGCATATTGCCGACACAGCCTCGTTGGTTTCCTGCATTTGGCGAGAAAAGCGTTCGCGCGGCTGAGGAGTAAAGGGCATCACACTTGTGAATTGTCATGTTGGATTATGTGTGAGTGCAAAATGAATGATGGCATGCACCATGGGGCTATTTTGCACATACAGACTTGCTTTTTGATTAATGTGTGTGCGTGTGTATGAATAAAATGCACAATCGATTCCCCTTCCTTCCCTCTTTGCTCTTGAAGGTCAGCATCATGAGAGTCGGCAGTGTGTGTATATACTGTTACACCGACCACACACATTAATTAAAATCTCTCTCCTAGGTATGTTGCATTGTGTACTCAAGCCTACACTATCTGATAGCCTCTAAATATATCTATATATATGTACATATCTGTGAAAACAGAATAATTGTGCTACCCGGAGCTGTTGAATGAATTTGCATATCATTATATATCATTTGTTTTAGCTTGGATCAGCAGGTAAATTCTGCCTGATCCCATATATATATATTTTTTAGGACCTCCAGAAAACACACTACATGGTCTTTCAGGCTCTCGGTAAAACTCAACCCACTGTGAATTGCCAGCTGAGTGAATTTAATATACAGCTAAAATCTGCAAGATGTTTATACCTCAGTGGGAAAGTCACATGTATTTTTACCCCTTACTTCCCCTCAAATGTATACAAATGAGATATAATGAGTGCAGTAGATGAGTAATCTTATGTAATTATGACTAAAAAATGTTCTTTTAAATATCCAGAGACTGACTAATGAATCTAAAAGTGTTCAGAATTTCTCTCCACATCATCAAATCTTGGCAATTAATGCATAATTAATCTTAAATGTAGACATAAGCTGTGCATAAATGATGGACCTTCAATTCAGTTCTGTCCATGTTTATTTATATAGCACCAATTCACAACAACAGTTGCCTCAAAGTGCTTTAAGGTAAAGCTTCACCTTTACTCACGCTAGTATTTGGGGAGAAAACCCTGACAATCAGACGAGCCCCAATGATTAAGGACTTTGTGATGGTGAGAAAGAAAAACTCCCTTTTAACAGGATGAAGGATTTTATGACCTGAATGTGTTTCACTAGGTAAGAGTTAAACCAAGTGATCAAGACCATAAACTCACCAGGAAAGACTTTACAGAGGATGTAAATCAAGGGAGAAGTCAAACATGTGTCTCACAATTTTCTTTACCATCTTACTTAAGTTGCCCCCTGCTGGCCACTATAAAGAATGCAGACTTGAGGCACTGGCTTCACTCTGCAGACGACTACACCCATCTTTTCAATACAGGCTATGTCATTTACAGAAGTTTTTTGTTAAATCATAAAAGGTTGACTAATTCATAATTTTTTTCAGCACAAAGGACTTTCCCCTCCTACACTCACCAAATTATTTTAGCAATATATAACTACCGAACAAATATACAGCATCTGTGAGGGGAAAATTATACAAGGAACATATAATATAGATTCTGGATTTACTACTGTTTGAGCCTTGTAGCATATGTTTATATATGTTATCTGTTAGTCAAAAAGAAAATTGCAATTTTTCAGTTTCTAAGCACAAATTTCAACATGATTCAGTTGTTTTATAAATGTGAGAATTTCTTGATTTTCATTAAACACACTCCCTGAACAGAAAAAGTTTAACATTACACTGCAGACAGACAGACAGTGCAGAGTCTTAAGATGCACAACAACCTGCTCGGTTCTCTAAATAGCTGATTGCAATTCCTGTTTAACCAGCTGAGTTTGTGATGTAATTAGCTAATGGGAGATCTCAAGCTGAGGCCTGCCTCCTTAACCAATCAGATAGTTTGCATAAGATTCATGTAACAGCAGGTCATGCAGTAATGGTGTAGAGTAGAAATACTGGAATGCTCTGGCTACCCTTTTTCTTTTTCTCGTCTCATCTATTCTTCCTGCCAACTCATCACTTCTCTATTAAACACAAAGTGAGATTCATTTTTCTCACTTTTTCACCACATCTAAGTCTGGCCTCTCATTTATATCTTACCACTCTTCTTTCCTTCTTTGTTAGCCCCTCATTCCATCTCGCTGACAAATAGAGACTGGTGGAAGGCAAGTAGGAGTGCAGCAGTGTGTGTGAGCGATGAAGGTGTCTGCTCGCATCACTCACTGCGATGTAGTGTGAGTATTGATTCTTTTTGGTGCATACTGACTTCATATTTCGTATAATATGAATAATAACAGCTATATAAGATTAATTGGAGTATCGCAGGTTGAAGTTATGTCTAGCAGTGTTAAGAAACAGGCTGGAAACTTTGGGTTTCTCCAGAAATACCATAAAATCAAGCATGGATTTTTAAAAAAACCCACAACTCTTGGCCATGAAGTGTCAACAGCCAAATATACTATACACACACACATATATATATACATATATACATATATATGTATATAGTTTCTGCTGTAACATGTAGCCTTTACAGTGTAAGGTGCCGAGAGCAATATATAACAGAGCTGGTTCCACCTCCTCATGACATTCCCGGGAAGTGCCATGGGAAAGTAACCAGCATTGAGTCAATAGAGCGCAACATAAAGACGCAAAAATAAATTGAGGCTCACGCCTTGGCAGGAGCGAATTCCAGCAGCTGCTGCGTTATAGAAGCAACACAAATGTGGAGAAAATGAACATTTGATGATGCCAAAGATCAGATCAAGGCAATAGCAATTAATACTGACAACCATATTAGTCCTGTTAGCTGGGTGCAGCTTTGTAAGTGACGGCTGGAATGAAAGAAAGAAATCTGATCTGTGATAAATGCAGTTATCACGTTATGTAACAGCCCAGATGATGACGACTTAATATAATCGCTGTAACATGTGACAGATTCGTTACAGATCATTTTTAAGAAGAGTTTTTGGGTTGTCATTTTTGTTTTTCATGTAAATATAATATCATAAGCATATGCAGGTTTTTTTTAAGCTATAAATGAGTTAATATGAGTTAATAAGATCCTCTGTAGGTTGTTGTACACGGTTCAAGTGGCGATTTCTATGGGAGGAAATGCACTTGACATTTTTGTTGGGCTGCCTAAAGTTTAGGTGAGGAAACAAACAGCTGTTTAAACAAATTTATGGTATCAAAAGGGACCATTTTGTAGAAAACCTCTGACAGAATGAGCAAAAACTGAGCAAACTGTCTTACTACAGAGCTCTGTGCCTCTGTGAGCATTTATGTATATATGAATAAATTTGAATATGATTAAAGTTTATTTTTTTGTTATTTTGTTTACCTGTTGTTGTTTCTGAGTTTGACATGCCCCCCGGGCTCCAGAATCTGCCCGTTCTTCAGCCAGGTGAGCTGCGGCTCAGGCTCACCCCGCGCTTGACAGGTGAAGATAGCGGTGGTGCCGACGGGGCGGGCGATGGACTGAGGAGGCTGAACGAATTCTGCTGGAGCTGTAAGAGAAGGCAGACTGAGAATCAGATCGAGTAACCTCAATCCGTCAAGCAAAAGATGTTGCTGGATAGATTGGTGCCAGAAAAATAGAAATACAATTTTGGCAGAATTAAGAGGTGCAGAAAAAGAAAAAGCCAAAGGGTGAGAATGAGGAAGGAAAAATGTGAAAGCCTAGTGTATGCATGAATGGTATAAATACTGCTGTAGAGATATAATTCAGGGTCAGTTGGCAGGATTATGATAGACACCAGATCAATGCAGATGCAGGAAAAGGGGGAAGCAGGAAAGCGAGATAAAGCCATAAGATTTGTGCAACCAGAGCAATACTTGGGAGTAATTTGCCTTAAAACAGCAGTTCAGGTTTTATATCTGCTCTCATCACTTGATTCAGGCTTCCAGCCATTATTCATTATTCAAAATGGCAGGTGCTCTATTTTAATTTAAAGAGTAATTAAAATTATACCTGCTGGATTATAATTTTCTAAGTTGGTGCTTTTGAATGATCTCCTCTGTACTTATAATTGTCCCAACAGCTGTAAGTGATCTGACAGCCTAATTTATTTATGACAACATTAGCCGAGAAAATTTGATGGTATTATATATACGCGGGTTTATATAATGCCTTTACTGGAGGCGTATCATAATGCCTTTAGTAAAAATACCACACTGTTCCACCTTTTTTTTCTGTCCCTGTCATTTTCTTCATCATCATCAAGGGAGGATGAGCAACCTGAGAAAACCTGAAATAGCTTGAACACAAATACCGTGAGATCAAAGTGACTGAATCAGAGAGGTGACTCTTAAAGAGAAACTTTTGGACCTATAATTTGATGGGATTATAAGATTACTTAAAAAAAAGTATTTAAAAAGGTAATGAGTAATGTGCAACAGATTACTGTTTATAAAAAAAGGCTGCACTTGTTTTAAATAGGTTAAGTAATTTTAGCTGGCTCTCTTAGGAACAGCACATTTATGACATATATGGAGTATTGAGGGCTACATATTAAAAGTCCAAACTAAGAGGAAGGAATGAAGAAATACAGTACTGTGCAAAAGTCTTTAGTCACGTCTTAATATTTTGCTTCCAATGAAGCTAGACTTTCCTGTCTTTTTTTAAGGCGGTCATGAGCCATAGTTCCAGTAAAATGGGCCTAATATGCTCTTTTTTATGCATATGTTTACTTCTTGGCATCTATTAGTGTACATTTACATGATATACTTTTTTGAATAATCCTTATTTATCCTATACTGGCCCTTGATGACCCTCATTTCACCGTGTGTATGTAAAAATCATTTTCTGTTCCTCTTCAGTCAAATGTCTTCTGTTTGACTGCCTCTAGCAAACAGAAGGTTTTAAACAGGCGCTGCGCTGGCCAGAGCTGTATGCTTGAGATAAACATATTAACCACATCCTGCTTCTACTGACATCATACAGCCAAAGAGTGGAAAAAAATCCCTCGAAATAGGGTCTTACACATACGCTGGCCTTATTTGAAAGTTTGGCCATATATAACGTGGGCATCCACCACTCTATGTGCCTTTATTTGACAAAAAAATAAAAAAATATATACTAGGAACAAGTCAAACAGGTCAACTTTAAAAGATCTGTCACACTTTCGGTTGTCAAGTTGAATCCCTGTTTATTTTGTTTTCCCCGCTCTTCTGCCCTCCTTCTTGTTCCAAAACTAATAAATAAAATGTTGTCTGACACTTTCTCAATGTAAGCATTTCCATTCTCCCCAGTGGAAAAGCTAAGGGGCCGTTAGGCACTTGAATGAAGGGGGCTGACAGCGTGAGATGGTCCTTTCATTCATCTCAGTCCTTCCCAGCTTCATTGTCTGTTTTGTGCACACTTGCTGTGTGCTTTGAGGGCTGACTTGAAGGTGAAGGTCAGAGGGAGCTCAGGAAGGCATTGATTTGCACCTGTAAGGGTGTGGGGTAAGACCGTGAGCACCAGCTATCCATCTTACGCTTGTTTTTCGCTTCTTTGGCCGCTACAGTTTTACTCTTTCATTCTTTGTTTCTCTCTTCTCTCTTTTTGAACCCCAAAGGAGCAAACATAAATCCAGCTTGTTTACTGTGTAAGTGCTTCTTTAATCTGTGATTTTCTTCTTAGCTTTGTGCTTATTGAAGTTCCTAATCAGTGACAGCCACTGAAGCCCTCTTATAGTAGCTTATTATCTATAGAATAATGAGAATTACTAATTAAAGCACACTATTCCATCATAACGGAGCAGTTCTAACACATGTGTTTATGTGTAGTTAATAAGGCATTTGTTGTTTCCTTAAATCAATAACAGAAACCAAAATCAGACAGCGGCACATCATGAATGTCCACATCTTTTTATCCTTAGCAGGTGAGGGGCTCGTCGCAGACTTGACAAGCAGATGAAATGAAATATTGATTGCGATCGATGCTGCTATAGGCTGGAGCAAAGTATGGTCCGTCTGATCAATATGTGAGTGAGGCAGACACTGGATGTTTCCTGCTTGGTGACAATTAATGCACAGGGCAGCCCACACCTGCCATATTCTTTTGGTCAAAAGCACCTGTCTCTTAACACTAACATCAAACACCTTCATGATACTGGCTCCAGCTCTGTGGAGAATAGATGAAAAGAAAAACAACATTTCAATCAAAATGTTAGAAAGCACACAGAGAATGAAACTTCAAAGGGCTGTATTTGTTCTGCATGCTGTGGCAGAGCAACAGATAATTGACCTTTAAGTTTTTGTCTAATATTAAAGTTCCCCACATAAAATATATTTTCTTTAAAAAGACTTATAGGATGTATTAAGAGTTGGTTTGTCTTGTTTTCACATAGCCTGTACATACAGTAGTGTGTAATCAGCTATTGCAAATAAACTAATGACTATAACTACAGGAACACCTACACTTAAGACTGGCAAATCAAAGATATGTTATTATAGGATATTTTGAATTTAGATGTAATCTTTTCCAAAATGATGCATAAATATATAGCGTATCTTATAGTATCTAGTATATTGTAATGTATATTGAGAAGAAAAAAAAGAGAGGTGCTATGGGTTTACCACTTTCACCAGATGATGGTGTTACTTCTTATTTATTGTAGAAAATCTGCATATTTATCTCCTGTGAGACTCACACAACTGTGTTATAAAACAAACAAATGTAAAATTTAATGCTAATGGCCTGTTATTTTTTTTAAAAACTGATTATACGTGTCATTTGAGTGAAGAAAAGGCTCGTAGATACAATACTGCAGAGGCATAGTCTCTTGTTGCAGAGCCTGTGAAGAACCGCGGAAGAATTTTAAAAAGCTGCAGACATGAAGGCGCGGCTTTTGAGCTGAGGATATCAGTGCCAAAACAAAGACACAATAAATCAATTTCTAGGCATTGTGAAAACCAACAAACAAAGAAGAAAGAATCTGTGTTGCTGGGTTTTTTTTATCCTTCTAGTGTGGCATCTAAAATCTGCAAATCATATCTCCATATGTCATTCTCTAATTTAAATTTGATGGTTATATTTATAGAATTTCCCAGAAGTGCCCACAGTGTGCATCTCATTTTTGTAGCTCAGACTGTAGTATAAAAACTTGGCTTCACTAAACCTCACCAACCTGAATCAAATAAACAGGGCAAACTCGACTGGGCAAATCAAGCCAGGTTTGCAATGTCCTTTAAAAGTGGGCAGTGCTGATGTTGATGTACATACTTTTCACAGGACTAGCAAATTATAATGGCTGTGAAGGCTGACTTGCACATTTTAGACCAACAAGTACAAGCACTTTGTAGTCTAAAGTGCTTTCAGTGGTCAGTAAGACGAGAGAAGTACAATATAAATGCAAGTCCATTAAATTACAAGACAATGAAATTGCTCTGAAACTGCTTGCAGCAATGCAAGCAGAAAGGTTGAGAATCTGTATCTCTTAACGATGCTTGTCAGGAAAAATGAAAAGGGGTTTAAAGAGTTTCTAAAAAGAAAAAACTAGAGCTCCTCTGAAAATATGCACGCATGGTCTATAGGATCTTCTAGGAAGGGTGTCACAGATTTTCAAGAGAACTGATTAGTTAGTAGGCTATGCTTTGATGCAACTTGATCTGTAATCTCCAACATAGCCTCTTAACCTCGCTAAACCCCAAATCCTGCTTCACGGTACACGTCCCCTGACTCTCCAGAGTCCCATCTCTAATCATCAAGTATCTCTGTGCTCAGTGCCTCCAAATACAAAACAATCTTTGTTCATTCTATCTAAAAAAAACCCCTATTTGCCATAAAAGATCTAATCACATGTGCCTCCACAAATGTAATATACTGTACATGATAACTTCCCAGGGTTGGTAAAAACTGCGCCTGGTCCCTAAAGTGTATTTCAGAGACCACAAAAGCCGATGTTGCAGGACTGTCTGCTTCTCGGTGTGATGCTGCAAATCTATTTTGCTCTGTGTTTTTGTTCTCCAATATTAAAGAAATGATGATTCAAATAAACCTCTGCAGTTATTTTGTTTATCTCTTCCTAACAGAGTGTTGAGGATTTGAAACCTGAAACTATGACTGAAATTGCAAAAGCTGAGAGTCGGAACTCTTTGTGAAATGTTTGTAATGCCTACCATACAGACTCAAGCTCTGAGCAACAAGCAGAGACATTTTAGTGGTCTTGTATCTTGCTGGAGGCACAAAAAGGTGTAAAAGTATGCTTGGTATACCAGAAATAGACGATAATTACTGCTCGGAAGGTAGCAAAATAAAAATCAGCCTGAAATGTTTTGGTATGCTTTGCTTTGCTTTGGAGGAAAATCATTCAAAACCTTCTCCCTGAAAAACCTGCACCACCCACTAGATCAGAATGAGGGTTTTAAACTAAAGACCACCTACAAAAAACTGGTGGCACAGGAGCAAAGCACTTGTTTATCAATGCAGCAAAACTGAGGTGCTTTCAGTCATGGTACAGTAATCATGTTGCCTGATCCACCCACATAGTGCTGAGCTGTACCTTGTCACGTTCCCCAAGATGTTTCGTAGGTGCTTTTAGCTTCACCCAACTGAAAAGAAAAATGTCATTGCTTTTATCCAGAGCTCACCTTGGACCACCAGACGTCCTTGAGCAGTCCTGCGCACACGGGTCCCTGGTTTGTTAGCGGCACATACGTAGACCCCGGAATGCTCCACACCAACATCTGAGATCATCAGGTTTCCTGTGCCGAGCACCTGGATTCCCTCCACCCCGATGGGACGGCCATCTAATCAGGGAGAGAAAAAAAGAAAGCAGTTGAGAAGGATGAGTAAGAATCTATGGAGATTAGCATAAAAAGAACCAGGTATATGGGCACAGTAGGTGTTTATGTTAGATGGGGGTCAACTGAACTATAGTAAAGATCAGAGTGGGTGTAAATCACTAGAAAGACATCTAATTAACATCATGCAAGTTTACGGCCACGAGCTGACAGAAGCAACGCTATTTCTGTCCCCCCAAGGATGCAGCGCTCACAGCATGTGTTCCTCAGGACTATAATGTGATAAAGCTGCCAGCACACCATACACCGAGAAAGGTCAGCGAGTTTGTGTTTGAGTCGTGTACACGCTGCAATTTTTTAAAACTTAATTGGGACTTTGTGATAGTTTCCAGGGAGAATCATCTGGCTTTTGGGTGCTTTATAGTAAATCAATGCTGCTATTCTGCTTCTCCCTAACGGATGTTCAGCTAATTAAAACTTTTACGCTCCAGTTGAGACATTCACCTTTTTCAGAAATTTGTCTGAAAAATCCTCAGAGTACATTTTCTTTTAAGCTGGTTTGCTTCTTGGCACTGGAAATGTTTCAGCTGCCACTCTGGGACCAGAAATTCTAACTGTAACTTCTAATCTTATATCTACTTACACAATCCATAGCGGCCTCCTCTCTGCTTTTGCTGTAATTACATGATAAGCTCACACACTTTCCTGTGCTCCCTTATCTGCAGTGTCAACTCCAACAATGGCTTCAGTCCGCCTATGATGTTAGCTATGGGGCCAAAGGGGCATTTTAATCCCATCTATGAGTTCCATCTGCAGCCTGTAAGCCTGTACGTTCCAGATATGATACACTGAAAGGCCAGGAATGGAGGGAAGGGAGACAGGTACCACAGCGGACAAAGGAGCTCCAGTCAGAAATGCTAACTATGTGGTCAATAGTCAGTGAATACTTTTGGGTTTGTCCCTTATCTTCAAACTTAAAGCAAGTCACTTTTAAGTCAACAGAAAGGTTACTTTGGATAATGAGTTTGACTGAAATTCACTTGCACATATGCAAAAAACAGGAACTAAAACCCATTCATATCTCAAGAAGTAAAACTCACCTTGCAGTGGTATAGTAAGGAAATCAACAGATAAGCGCCAATTTAAAACAAAACAATAAATAATTACAAGCATCAACTGTGACACAATCCAGGAAACCTAAACGACAGAGACAATTCACTCCTGCGATACAACAACTGAAGATAAACTGGAAAGACAAGCTTTTGCTCTTAAATCAGATATGATCACCAGACCTAAACTGCAAAAGGAAATCATCACAGCAAACGCACAGACCAAACCTCATCACATCTCAAGCTCACCACTCAATTCATCAGAAGTGATGAAAAAAATCCTTTGAGTTCGTTTGAATCTTCAAACCAGCCAACACACACACGACTCGTGTGATAAATGCTGCAGCTTCAATTAGTAAATGTGCAATTATGTGGCGATGCCTAATGAAGACAATACATGTAATTAATGCAATTAATCACGACAAGTCATTGAGATCTAATAAATGTCTCCAACTTGTGTGACACGTGTTCGTCTTCTTCGAACGCTTTTTCCGCATTTTTTTCATTATCGCACTGAGACGATGTCCTAACAGAAGCAGTCTTGTTCTTTTCTTGCATTTTTCTGTTATATTCCTCTCTCTCTCCGGCTTTGCCATCACTTTCTCCCTGTCAGAGACTAATTAACTTAGTGTCAGAAAAAAAAAGAGCACAACCTAGGAGGCCGTGGTGCCGCTGTTCAATGAATAGCAGCAAACCAACTCTGGCATTAAGGAGTGACTGATGTGAAACTATAAGATTCATTATGCGGCTTATCCTAGCCTCCCTGCTGTAATCTAATACATACAAATCCCATCGTGTTAGCATTTCATTCTGGTAACACTGTGTAAGGCAATACTGGCAATCTGATTACACCCAGATGCTGGGGAGGGGCTGTGATTTACATTTGGAACAGCAAATCAGATTGAATGAGAAGTAAAGTAAACAGATAGGAGATTGAAAAATTGTTCACGACAGAATCTGAGTGGTTGTCAAGAAAAGGAAAAATCCGCATGAAGAGAGCTGTCTGTGCAGCAATTACTCAGACTCTCCGCTGCTTCCAAGGAGGTTTTAGCATCATGAGGACACGAAGCAACAGAGTCGAACATCATGTTTAGCCCTAAGACTTAATCTTCAATCCCACTGCCTCATGTATACACAATAGATCTGTGCTGTAACAAATCTATTCTAGTAGAGTATGACCAATATAGGAATTTTACTGACCGATACTGATACCGATATTTGGTGATTTAAAAATCTGACATGAATATCTGATATAGTATGAAAAACTATGCAAGCATCAGCTTGTTTGCACATGCTGTTAAACAGTTTAAGTTTCGATTTATCAGCTGCCATAAATGCTGATGCCAACATATCAGTGAATAACCAATATCGACTGATATATCAGTCTGGCTCTGTATACTTCACAGTGGAAGACAGAACAAACAGATGCCACCTGTGTCTCAAACACACAAACAAGAACACCAGGTCTGATCTGATCAGGACGTTTTTCTCACCTAGTCTGCTCCATGACACAATGGGCCGAGGGTATCCAGTGGCAACACACTCCAAGATAGCCGTTTGGTGAACAGTGAGGGTTAGGTTTTCTGGACCCACCACAATCACAGGTTCTTTGTAAACAGATGACTGAGAGCCTGAAGGGAAAAGGGAGACGAGAATTCAAGATTGGAATGAGCATGATGGATAGCTTCTTTTAATTGGATTTCTTCAAGTGCATTAGCTCAATATGCTGTATCTCTTAGATCTGGCAGCAGGACAATAGGTTTGGAAAAGTCTAGGAAATGTGCTACACAGATAAGCAGAGGCGTATTAAGTGACTGTATTTGATCAGTGATACAGAAAACTAAAGATCCGAATAAAGAAAGCTCATTTAAACCAAAGTCAATTTACAGTGAGGACATGTAGGCTTTCCTCAAATGACAACACACACACAAAAAACCAGAGGTTTACTCAGATGTGTGCTCAACTATAGATACCAACCTGAAACTGTTAGGAGTGCCTCAGCACTGTGTTTCACTCCTGCACTGTTATGAGCCACACAGCAGAACCTTCCACTGTCCTCCTCACGCACTCCTGTGATCTGGAGAACGCCTGTGGGCAGGAGAGTGTACCTAAAAGACAGAAAAAAATCACGAGACTTGGCAACCTTTAACCAAAGTGCTGCAGTTTCTTAAAACAAGACGCCCAAGTGGTATTTTGATCTAACCTCTCATTACTGGTGTCCACCGGACGGCTGTCTTTTTCCCAGCTGATGACCGGCTCTGGCAGGCCGTGAATCTGGCACTGGAATCTGGCCACGCCGGACTCCTCAGCGTGCACCGACTCGGGTTGGACGTGGAAATCTGCCATGGCTGTGAGATAGAAAGAGGAGCAGTTGAAATATTAGGTCATAGCTTCGCAAAACAGCTACAGAGCAACAAGCTCAGTTGCTTGCAGAAAAAAAAAAAAGCAGCGCTGCAACAGATGGCGTGGCCCCCACAGATCCCAACATCAGAGAACCAATCTTGGACTACATAAAGAGACAGAATATCTACCAAAGGAGTGCTGCAACATGCTTGGAGCAACTGGCACATTTTCTGCAAGGGAAATTTATTTTAGTATTTATATTTATTTTTAGTGTGTTGCTTTTTCACAAATAAAGAGCAAGTATTACAATTTCATGGAAAATCCACACTTCAACTGTTGACGGAGATACTTGGGTTTTTGCACCAAAATGGCACTGATTCACTAAATGCACTTCATTGTTGAGAGCTTTAACCTACCTGCTAACCTTACTATTTCACATAAGCCAATTCAGAGACAAGCAGAACGTTTCTGACATCACAACAAATGTGTAAAAGGAAGCTTTTGAAAAAGAAAACAATCCTACAAATAACAACACAATGAAACACATTCAAGAAGTAAAAGCATAGCTATTTCTGTGAGAGCATGCAACCTGCTTGAGAGGATGTGATACATTTTTCTGCTGCCACTGTGCCTGTCCTTCATATGCAGCTGATGAAACATTTTGTATCCAGGTAAGAAACACATGTTTCCAAAATGCATGCTAACGCAAATAAAGACAACATAGATAAGGCCAGCACCATATAGCTAAGCCAGTATCAATATCCCCACAGAGAGCCTCATTCAGCTGCAGTTCACATATCCACTCCCTGCAGAACAAAGGCGGCATCGAAGGTGGAGCCAGCAACAAACTCAATTAGAGAGAGGCCCTCTTCTTCCACAATTCTCCCACCTTCTTCAACAGAAGTGCACTCATTTAAATGTCAACCATAATTAACTTGGAGGAAGAGGGGTTTCTCCGAAAACTGTTAGCATAACAACGGGAACAGACCCCTTATTATTTCATAAGACCCCCCCCACCACCACCACCACCACCACCCCCTTCCAACATGTAGCCTGCATTAAATTATTACTTGCAGGACCTTTATGTTGCAGGCAGCGATACCTAATAAGGGTATTTATGCTTGGTTGCTGTCTGGTAGTTCTTTCTCTGATTTCTTGGGCTGGTGTAGCATTAACTTTGTTGTACTGACCTACTGACTGTGTGCACTTGGAATGTTGTCAAGGTTTTCCTGTTGTGCAGAACCAGAAAAGAAATATGTATAGTTTAAAATATTAATATAGAAATGAAGAAAACAAACCTTAACCATTGATGCTGAAGGATGAGAGCACAGAGAGAGAGTGGATACTTCATTTAGAGAAGCACTACTTTATACCAGCGGCTGCAACACTGTGATTATTACATTTCAGAGCTTAATGAGAAGCGTGGCATTCTCAAACACGACTTGACCTTAGATCTTGGAATAGATGCATGGCACTCTAATGAAAATTAAACCATGGTAATCTACTTTTCTTCCAGTAGTTCGCTCTTCATAAGCCATGACTTATGAAGCTGTAGCATATTTCTCTGAAGATACCATGTGAAATCATTTCTCTTAAGAAATGATAAGGCCTCACAAAAGCAGCGGTCCATTTTTACTGGAGTAATTCAGTTTGTTCGTCAGTCTCAAAGGGCCACACGGCTCTCACAATGCCCTACCTAATAAATGTAACTTCACTCTGAAGCATACATGGCTTTAAAGTCACCGAGAGCATCGGAAGTATTTTATCACCAAATCACCATTATAGTCCATTTCAGCTCTTTTTTTTCAATTCTTCCTTCTGACATAGTAAACTGCAAGCTTGGGAACACTTCAGTTTATAAAATGATGAAAACCCACTGTAAAGTTGTCAGAAGTTATTATTGTATATTTCAAGTGGCCCCATAGAAACACTTTTATGGGCTTGCACTTCTTTTCTAGACAAAAGCAATCAACAATACGTTCTGCCCCGGCCTGCTGTCATACTGAGCCTGGGGCAGAAAGACTGGCAGAAGGCACTGAATTAAAGCCCTGAAGGTGCTGCCACTGCTGATGAAGGACGCTTAGGTGAAATGGCTAGAAATCCTTCAGAAAAACAATGTGCGGAAAACAAGAAGGTCAAGGTGACCGATATGATGCAAGACGAGCGCTTTCCTGGAATAAAGTCTCAAATTAAGATACAGGCATGCACGCACACAGCTGTGTGCACTGTCCGTGTGTACTGGGAACACTGAGGCACTTGAATGCTGCAGGACAAAGGAGGACCAGTGTCTATAGAAGTCTTTCTTGTGCATCTCTGCCAAGTAGTCAGGGTGTCTGCTGATCTGGCTGTTGTGTGTGTCCACTGACACAACCCCCTAACGGGCCCCACCCTTTGCCCTCATGCATAAAACATAGTCTCTCTAAGAGGCCCACAGTCCTCCTATTATTGAACCCTCGCAAAATCAGACACAATTTCAAAAATCACAGCGGGGTCACACCCACAAATGAATGCATGCGGCAAAGAATTTGATTAACTCTAAAGAAAAACAGCCATTTATAATCTGCACTTTAGTTGACTTTTATGGTGTATGTTGCAGAAGCAGATCAACGTGATTTAGCAAAGCTATAGCAAACACATACGAAGACATCCAAAGAAATGCTTCCCTAGAAACACACAACCCTATCAAACCTCCTCCTTGTGCTCAAAGCATAATAAAAGCAGTAGACAACAACAATTCATTTTACTCATCCAAACACACACCTCCAACAAGACCTGTTCTGCCATTGTTTGTCTATCTCCTGCTCTGCTAAGTGTTGACAGACAATGTCACATGATTAAAGACTGTCCACTACCAGCGTGACGCCGCCGGCTTAAATGGAGCAGGTCTAATTACTGCAATAGGGGAAAGAATGGTTGGGGTGCATACTAAATGGAAATCCATACACAGGCGCACAGTGAGGAGATCACTCCTCGAACATATGTTTGACAGTTTCTCGGTGACAACCACAAAAGAATGATTGAGGGAGTAATATGAGGGAAGGTCACAGAGAGGAAATGTGAAACAAGGAGCTAAGCTGTAAATCAGATCTTGTCAAAAGTGACTGGCACTGTCCTGCTGTGTGTTCCACAATTTACCATGAAGTCGCATAACAATAAATCGGAATCGGGCCGAAATTAACATGAAAATCTCTTTGAAAGGAAAAAATGTCACCCCCGCTTTTCCACAAAGACGCACAAAGGATATGAAATATGAAAGTGAAAATATACCATCGCTGACTATCAGACTTGAGGGCCGATGATGATGATGCTAAATGAGAAAACCAAGTACAATGGCTTCAACGTTTCGAAAGCAGATTTTTAGCTCTGTCATGTGAGCAGCTTGTATCTATCTAATGAAGAAACGTAGATTAAATGGTGATTACTGAAATGACCCTACTGGTGAAGTTTTGGCTAATAGCCCCAAGTAATGATCCATTTCTTTATCGCTCTGTGAAACACTCACACAAATACTCCACAGATAATAATTAACACCATTACTAAAAACCGCCCAAAACTGCCCTATTTTTTGGCATCTCCAACTGCAACAACTAAATCATGCAGCCAGATGAGAAATTTTCATGATTTCCAAGCACCTGTGGTCACATGTGGGTGTTCAGTGATATGACAGCGGTAATGATGCTAGCAGAGGGGCAGATATCCTGCAGTAGTGTTCAAAACAGCAGCTGTCGTGAAAAAGCTTCTCCTGTGAACCCCTATGTTGTAATGTCATTGCCCTTCCTTCCATTTGCCTGCGGCCACCCTCCCGCCCCACTCCACATTTTAACCCTTCCCAGCTCTGCATCGCACCTCTCTCCCCACCCCCTCGGGTCCTCTCAAGTCTGTGACATCATTAAGCACATGTTGTTCGAAGCGGCAGTGATGACTGCAGTGCCCACCCCACCCCCAACTCAGTAAACCAGAGATGAGACCCATAAATAATGGAGATGGTGTACATGTACGCCGCTATAACGGCGTGCAGAGTCCGTGCTTCCACGGCCTTTAAATAGGTATCCCTGAAATAGCAGGCCGTGTGCTGGGACCCTGGACTTGGCATTTTAATGCAGATGTGATATTTTATTAGCTCCCTGCCCCACTAGCCCCCCACCTCTTTCTCACCAGTCCCGCTATCAGGCTTTGGTTTGTGGTGTGTGATGCTTATCACCTACGATACGTAGGGCTACACCTGGTCTT